TTTCGAGAAAATAGAAATGTTTTGCTATTGAAATAATTTATTTAATACAAAAATTTAAAACTAGTCATAAATTTCAATAGGCGTAGAGAACAATTAAATAAATGAAGAGATTGACAAAAAAAGATAAGGTACTTTGTAGAAAAAAAAATCTTTCAAAACTGTACAGAAGGTCATACAGAATTTAGACAAAAAAAACAATAAATTATTTATATCAATGAAAAAAATTGCTTTCATAATGAAATTTAACACAAATAAGACCATAGAATAAAGAAACAGAACAACAAACGAGACACATTGAAATAAAAAAGAAAAGTTTAATTAAGATCAGGTTGACTTGCAGTTTTCGTTGTGCGAAAGTATTTTCGAAAATGAGGAGTGCGACGAGGTGTTAATGATACTGTCAGTGATGGAGTTTTCTAGAAAAAAAGATTCAGATCATTTATGTGAAGATATAAGAAATACTCACAAAATTCAATGATGTAAGATTATTTTTCATTCCATTGAGCTTCGGAGTTGAACACGCATATGGTGATTGAAATACACGTTCGTCTTCAGAAGATTCCTATAAAAAAATAAATGCACACAATGTAATGTAATATACTAAAACGAGTAATATAAATACTGATAATAGTCTACGACGTTTCGACGTCGTAATTTGAAGATTCTTCTTCAAGTAAAATGTATGATCAGTTGCAAAATTCGTTGATTGAGAATGTAGCGATGGGTTCAATATATTAGTATCAGAATATGTAGTGATTGGATCGACGTACGAGTTATTTGATGCCATCTCAGAATGATATTCAGTAATACTCTAGATAATGTAACATGAAAAAATTTTTAACAACCTGGAAAAAAAAGAGAGCTGGATACCAACTGTATCGTTTACGTAGATAGATTGAGATTGTATTGATGTTACATGAAATGAATTATTTTGAATTGATGAAGGTGTTAATCCGAATTTATTCGACTTGATTTTCACTTGTTGAATTGATGAATTGTAAGTCTAAATAAAGAAAAATTTAATAAAAAAAGGAAACTAATAATAAAGTTATTGGAAGAACCAGAATATTTACTCTATTACAACAAAGATCTTGATGACATCTACAAAAAGCTGTACAAGATAAATTATTTTTATAACAGTTGCAACGAGTACAACCACCATAATTGTTCAAAACTGTTTGAATAAAAATCATTAGGTGTATCTTGATCAGGATATAGTGGTAATGGTTTTTGTGTGATGATTGACCGACGACGATGTTTAAAAGAATGAGTAAATATCTAAATGGAAACATGAGTAAAATAATAAAATGCTAATTTTATCAAAATTACTCTTTTTCGTGTTCGTTTCAATTTATCTCGTTTTCGTTTTATACTTTCATTTCGTATTACAACTTCATTTGTACATTGACCATTGATGACCATTTCAAAAGATAAATCATCGTCGTCGGGACTAGCTGCACGTGTATCATCCTTTGAAAATTAAAATCAAGTGTTAAAAAATCTATGTCATTCAGTTAAATCAGTCATTGATAATACTTGAAATATAGTTTCATTTGTTAATGCTGTTTGTGTTGAATCTATTGTATATTTGTCTATTGCTTCAACATCAGTTGACGTTGTAATATCTTCTTCTTCTTGACGATCAGCAAATACATTGTTCCAATTATTCTAAAAAAAAATAGAAAATTAATAGAACCTAAATCTACATTTTTGAAAATTCGAGTTTACTACAATTGGTTCAAATACTTCATATGTTAATGCTGTTTGTGTTGAATCTATTGTATATTTTTCTATTGATTCAATATCAGTTGACGTTGTAATATCTTCCTCTTGTCGATCAGCAAACACGTCGTTACAATTGTTCTAAAAAAAGATAGAAAATTAATAGAACCTAAATCTACATTTTTGAAAATTTGAGTTTACTATAATTGGTTCAAACACTTCATATGTGGATGTTGCTTCTGTTATACCACTGGTGATCAATGATGCTTCAGTAGAATTTCTTGAGATAATATCTTGTTCGGATTGTACAAATGATATACTACTACTAGAAATTTGATCATGAATACCAATTAATGAAGATAATGTTGGTGCTGCATTCGAGCTGCACTCAACTGTAAATTCAGAAGTATATTTCTACAAGCAAAAAAAAACATTTGTACGTTAAACTAAAGTCATTCATAAAGAAACTCACTTCATTATTTTCACCAACATAAAATGATTTGTTTCTGTCTTCAGTAGAAAAGAAATTAGATTTTGTAGTAATTGTTGTTGGATGATTTGTAATATCCATTAATATTCTAGCAGGATTTGAATCAAGACATGAATATTTTTTTTTCGTTTTGGTCTTCCTATTTTATTTGCGACAGATACCGGTTCAATTCCAACAACAAGTGATTTGTAGCAAATTGCATGCACTAATTGATTTAGTAGTGTACCACTTAATTCCTTATTATAACGAGTTTGATATGCTTTACGAACTTTTTCTTCTCGTTCAATTGTGCAAATTTGCGTATACTTGCAACGAGCTTGTCGATCTTTTTTTCCACATATTAAGCATAAAATTATTTTTCCAGGCAACGACGTCGATGAACAATATGATATAACAAACAGCAATAAACAATTCTTTATTTCTTTTGCATACGTAGACGATTTATCAATAGTCTAAAATGATGACAATAGTCTTTATCATCATATGATGTTTCTATGATTATGTCCAGCCAATATGGTTCATACTCAACGACCAATCAGTGACGATCTCTTAAACCGAACTAGGGCGAGTAAAACTATCACTACCAAAATCATTAAATCACTTTATAAGTTCAAAATATAGTATCAAAAGTTCTTGAAAAAGTGGCAAGATATGTGGCGCCCTCTCTTGGTGCATTTTCCGATATTGATTATTCACTTCGTCGCCTTGTGGGTACGTACCATTTTCATCATATCTTATTAACATTCACAAATTTATCATGGATATAAATCAAATTCACAATCATTTTTCTATAAAAACTGATATTGATGATGATTTTAAATTAATAAATGATATGTCAAAAGAAGAACCTATTATTGATGAAGTAGAAAAATAAAATTTCAATAAATAATTAATATGTATTATATTTATAATTTCAGCATCGTCGTTTACGTGATAATGAAATAACAGAAAAGTTTGATGAATATATACGAAAAGGTTATTCTATGATAAATGATACTTGTCCACTTTGTAGTGTATGTAATCAATAATAATCTCGAAACTTATTATTATTTAACATATATATTCATTAGTATATCCTTCTTCGTACATCTGCACGTCAAGTATTTTGTGTTGGTTGCAATGAAATCAAAATTGATAATAGTTAGTTTAGAAAAATAAAAAGTTTAGTATTTGTACGAGTATACTTTTGTAGAAAGAAATCGTCATAAAAAGAAAATTGTAACAAGACATAAGAAAAAAGGTCATATAAAATTTTCAAAAACACAAAAAAAGAAAAGAAAACATATTGAATATGTTAATAATTGCAATCGACTTGAAAATAAAGTTAAATGGGCTATTGATAAAGTAATATGAATTTTATTTAATTTTTCTTTTTGTTTTCAATAAAATAATTTTTATCTTTATAGTTAATAAAAATTCAAAAACCAAATCGTATTAATGAAATGTGTACGGTTATTATTAAATTAATAGAAATAATAGATCTACTCAAGAAACATGAAATGACATCTATAACAAATTACATTAAAAAAACCCTCTTCCACATCGTTTTATTTTTCGTTGATCATTATTTTATCTCATTTAGAAGCTCATATTCATTGTTAGAAACAAACTATTTTAGATATAATTATAATGATGCTATGCAAAAGATGTGCTAAGAAATCAGAAATATTGGAGAAAATTTTCATCAAAAGATATTAAAGATCAATTAGAATATGTTCGAGTGCGAGAAATGACAACATATGTTTCATCCTTGTTGACCCTGATAAATTCTATAAATAAGTTTCTGGTATAAAATGAAGAAATTTTGAATTATTCTATAATTCATTTGTGTCATAAACTTAAGCTTTTATCTCATAAATTGAATATATTGCTCGAAAACAGATGTAGTGGAATGAATTTTAAGGATGATATTTAAAAATAATGAATTAGATGAATATTTGAAAATGAATATTGCAAATACTTATATACAATCAAATTCATTACCATTCTGGAGAAGTCATCAATACAAATTTCTATATTCACCATTATTTGCTCATCAACTTATTTTAATCCCAATTAATTCAGCTGAGATTGAAAGATCTTATTCTGCTGCAGATTACATATATTCGTGAACAAGAAAAAAGAATAGATTTGTTGTCCTAGTCCTATTCAAATATGCTCTTGTCTACGCATAAGAAAGAAATCGTTCTCGATTTTCAGAACAATGTATTTTGAATAAACAAAAATCAAGTGTTCAGATTTGAAAGAACTAATCAATTAGTACAAGTCAGATAATCAATAGTTCGATTATATGGAACAGTCATATGCCTTATGATTACGAAATCTTTAGTAGAAAAATGCTTTCTTTAAATCTTTGAATATAGTGGTGAGAGATACTTCTTCTAAAATCATCAAAAGATTATTCTTGTTTTCAATTCTTTTACAAAGAAAAACAAAACATCTTTTATTTTATTGTCTACAATAGTTTTCAACATCTTTTGAACAAAATCTCAATCTATGAATAATTTCATGATTCAAATGCATTTTTATTTTTATTTTTATTCTTTTTTCTTTCAAATATTTGAACCATATTTTAAAATTATTTCATGTTCATTGAAATCATAGTGATCTTGCTATAAAACACGAGACAAAGCATATATTTTATGCAAAGCTCAACGCTCTATCAGAATATGTAATTGATTGGAATTTCATTCTTACTAGGTTCTCTCGTCTTCAATGCCCACATTGTTTGATAGACACTTGCATTTTTTTAAATGTAGAATGACGAAAACTCGATTATAACTATCCGTGTGATAGAGTTGATGGCACACATATCATACAAAAAGAAAGAAAACTCTTTCGGTAACAAATTGGCGAAAAAAAAAGCCATTATACTCATTTCGTAGAGTGACGATTTGAAAATTCACAATAGACATATAAACATAAAGTTCCATATATGAATAAAAAATATAAGCCGTTAATCTTGTATTGATCAGAAGAAATTTACATCATACTGAAAAATACAGAGTAATGCTTTTTTCACAGATGTTTCAGTTGAATCGCCTCAAAGCTATTCTTTCCAATATAATTTAACAAAACCCAATTTTTCCTGCAAATCTGACTGTATTGTGGACTATTCCTGATTAATTATTTCGCATACAGACTTAAACACTGATTCCATCTTTTCATAGATTACAACTAATCTCATCATTGGATTAAGCAGAAACTCAACTGTATACAGTGCACCTCGCTTGAAATTTACTGAAGTTTTCGAAAAGTTTTGCTGCAGAGTATCGATATACACAATAATAAAATTGATTGCCAAGAAATTGTTTAGCTGAACTTTTATTTTTTGCACCGATTGTATTAAAACGTTAAAATTCGCTAATATATACATGAAAATCAATTATTTCGGATTGATACACTCATGGAAAATCTATCGATAAAATATGTTGCCAAATCTGACAATTACCCAGAAACAACAAACAGTACATACAGCGTTGTGCAAATGTAACAAACAAATTTCTACATCTGGATGCTGATCCTATGCTGCATCTTTGAAATATATTACCTAGTATATATGGTAAAAATATGAGAACTAGCTGCGTATATAGAAACAAAAAAACGAAAAAAATTATTTGTCCGATTACTTTTAGCTCACCCTGTATACATAAATATAACTCAGTAAGAATAAATAAGAAACATGAAAAAAGAAATGGTCATCTGTACGTTGGAATTGCTACCCGTCGATATTTTTTTTTGTTGAAAGTTTTGGTTATTTGTCTCCTGTTGAAATTCTTTAATGATTTTTATTATTGAATGAACGTTTCTCCAGAACGATTGTATATTAATATTTGTATCACATTCATATTGGTGATAATATAATGTTATTATAAATATTCAATAATC